TGAATTGAAACAAGTGCTGGATGAAAATAACTAGAGATCCTCATTTTTAACACTTGAGTCATACAACATCCATCTATCTTTATCTATTATCCTTCTTTTATACTCCAGCATTAGGATTCTGTCTCTCCCTTGCCCTCTCAACACCCCTAATTTACAACTACAAGGCCATCTTATCATAGATGAAACATGACACATTTTCACACCGCATGATAGACCACATGATGTCCAATCTGGATTGGTTTAGCATGTTCAGACTGTCATAAGTTCAGTGTGCACACAGTAAATGTTCCCTCCGCTTTATGCTCCGCTTGCTATCGATCATATGGCAGCTGCATCTGCTTAGTGCATGACAAGTCATCAACAACACTTTGTCAACTCTTTCACTGAGTCTAAATGGGCTCACAGTTTATTAAAATAGCCCTGCTCTCTGTACCAGAGTGAGAAAGGCTGCAGGAGAATCAGGAAAGAATTATATTACAAATAATACAAAGTTGCTAATGCATGTTTAAGGCTAAATCCAGGAGAAGGGCTGAAAGAACTGAACTGAACTTAAGAACTGAAAGGCTGTCATTTATATATACACACCTGTAGTGTCTGGTTATGAGGGTCCTGCATATGTTCATTCTGTGCCTCCTTGTTCCTGGACTGTGGAAGAATTCAGAACAACCTTTGGATTCTTATCCAGTTATCTTATCCTTGCAGCTCTCCATTGAAACTTGAGCCTCCCTGTCAGTTTTGCTTTATATCCCAGCATTCTCATGTTCTCAAGGCTGTCGGTGACCATTTACAGGAGGTTGGTGGAGGTTTATATAATAATATAACTTGATTCATTGGAGGTGAACCACCAGTCTTGTTTAATTGTCACCATGGCAATGTGCTTTTCAACAACTTGTTTTGATTTTGCACCAAATAGCTGTCTTTACCAGAGTAAGCCGAACATGGAAACGTGGATATTTTTGTAGGCTGTCCCTGGCCGTGCCCACGTAACTGCTGTAATCAGAGTGATAGTGACTTTATCCAATTACTTCTTGTGGATGAGCTCTAGTATTTTTATTAGAGTGCTGCCATATCCTTCAGATGTTCCTATTAGCTTGCCAGACAATTTCATAACAGTTCAAAACTCTCTCTAGCAACCGCATAGCAACCACCAAAAACAGCTTAGCAACGCCCTGGCAATTATCTATCTATCTATCTATCTATCTATCTATCTATCTGTCTGTCTGTCTGTCTGTCTGTGTGTCTGTCTGTCTGTCTATCTATTGTTTATATGTCTTCAGTTTGAATTAACTGAAAATGTGGCTCTTCCCCTCTCATTTGTCATTGTCAAATTGACAATGGAGCAGATTGAGTTACAGGCCACAATGATGAGCTAAATGTATTTACCACAGGGTTTCCTCTTTCCTCTCACTGTCTGTGTAAGGTGCCCACGAGAGCTGTATGAATTATTTACTAAAATATAAACATGAATACTCCAAGTAAGCTGTTTATACAGACATGTAGTTCAGTGAAGAAGAGAGTTTTTATTGACAAACTATGCAGCATATAGTATAGCACTATATAAGGTGCTGCACTGGCCCGCTCTCAGAAAACTAATTGTTTCTTGGGATATCCCTTTACTATAATGACTCACTTCATGAGGCATACTGTAAGTCACTTTCGGGCCAATTTCATTGCCACCGCCCAGGTATTATGTATTATATAGTTAATTTTAGAATGGCCTGGGATATTACATAACATTTCTGCCCAGGGTCACTAATGTTGAGGATCCTTTTTAATTTAAGCCCCAAAACACATCTGTTGGTCTGGAGCGCTAAAGGAAGGTATCACAAGAAGTCCCTGGCACTTACTCTGTCTGCTCAGTTGTACTTTACTCGGTGGTACCATCGGCCGCATACCTTGGCAGGCACAGGATGTGTCAGAGCAAATTACAGTGGCCCAAAATTAGGCCACAGAATTCGGTGTTCTCTGCAAGGGAGGAGGGGATATGTGACACCCTGCAGGCCTTATGGTGTGTAGCATGACAGTCAGCCATCAGACAGGATCAGTGTTTTGAAGCTACCACACAAAATTATTCAGAAATACCACTTAGGGACAAAAAGGCTCTCTGTGTTCCAAGGTATTCTGGCGTGAGTTATTATGATAGTAGCAGGATGGGTCTGCAGGGGTGCCTGTGACTCGTAAACCCCATACATTAGAACGGGACGCAGTCAGACGATGCAGCTTCTGTACCACAAAGATAGTCCTACAATATTGTGATGAAATTAGCTGAATGAAATCTGATGACATGATTTATTCAATTACTGTGGGAGGGACAGATCCCTTTAGACAAACTGCAAATTGGCTAGCAGTTAATTTTCCTCATTACCTATTTTTTTTTTTTTTTGAGTGCAGGTGAAAATTGATTCCTTAGAAAATGTATAGTACACATTTCCTCAACAAGCTCCTAAATCTGATGTATTATTTATGTCTGTAGCACATGGAAAGGGTTTTGCACCAAATTAATAGTGTAAATTTTGGCATACTGGTTTACTTAAGAGTCAGAGGTATTTTGAAATCCCTCATCGTAAATATAAGCAATATTAATTTCACTGCTATTGTTAGCCTCATAAAGCAATATAATGACGTATGTGATGATCTGATTGAAAATGGCCTGATAGTAAAAAAGAAAGACAGTTCTAAATATAGTTCAAGAACCATGTCAAACTGATGTGAGGTCAGAAATTCAGATCTGAATCATTCACATGAGACAGATTAGCCAACTAACTGTCCATATGGAGAATGTTCCACACCACAACTTCCTTCTAGAGGGGGAATGCGATTACTCAGATTACAGCTGTTATGAAAGCAATGTTGAAATCGTAGTAGAGAAACAAATTTGTCATTTATTCTAGTTTTGTACTTTCTTCTTTCTTTCACCAAAGGCTAGATTTTGACCACTCTTTTCAAGAAAATGAAAGTGAATTAAGGCTGAAGTTGTCAATCTCCACAATGACAAAAAATTACTATAAAAGGGTCATAAACTTATATTTATGACAGCGTTCTATTTTAAGCCCTATGTCTCTTTGGCATGTTCATTAAGCAGCATGTCATAAATGACTCTTTTGAAGATATTTTACGTGAATCCAGTTCACAAAACAAGTCTGAATGATTTGTTGACAAGCTGGACACGCTGACTCAATACTGTCACAGGACATAAATTAATCAGTTAACCACAGAAATTGTTTATATGGCTTCAGAAGACATAGGGCCTCATTTATAAAACATGCACATGCCCAGATTTGATCTTCACGGCAACGTTCAGATTTATAAAAAACATTTTTTGACGTGGAAAAGTGCTTATCGCCAGGTCAGGTTCTCAGCAGGCGTGCACACTTTTCCTTGTGGCAGAGTCGAGTACTGCAGGTATTTGAAAATCAAAAGTAATTCTTACCGCTTGACGTTCTCAAGTAAAGGATTTGGACGCTGCCTGGTGCTCTTTTATATGTTAATCTCATTACCGTTTGCAGGGCAACGATCTGAAACCATTCAGCTGCGCACATCTATTCAATATTCCGTTTCAACTGGAAATACGTCACTACACTGAAATAAAGTAAACTTCCGGTTCACGCGGACTTTAATTAGGAGTCGTTTACAAGCAGAGAGCTGAAACCATTAATTTGCCCGCAAGTTCAAGATCATGATTCATAGATTTCACATCTGAAAGAGACCCGATCGTGAGTTTTCTGTATGTACGTTAATTAAGGCACATAAAATAACAAGCTAAAAGTAGTAAACACTTGTTTTATGTTTCAAAGAAAAAAGAAAAACATAAGTTTGGAACAGCATAATGATGACAGAAAACCTATAACCATGTTTTATAGAAGAAAAACCATGCAGATCTTGCTTCATCCATTTTATCGATAAACCATTTTTTTCAAATGCTAATATGATGTAAAAAAATTGTTTCATAGCACCAAAGATGATTTCTGTTCAAAATTTATTTTATATAGAGAGCTGCGCAAAATCATGAAAGATAAGCAATACCTCTCATTTAATGTAAAAAAAAAATTCTGAATGCCCGATCTTGATTTTGTCATTATGAGAAAAGTTACAGTCTGCAGAAGCTCTAGTCATACCTATACATCTTTAAAATACATACATACAAATATAATTACTCTAAGGTTTGACTGGTACACCAAACTAAGTCAGGTGTCTGTAATAATACTCAAAGTATTTGCATGTAAGAGGCTGTACGTGGTACATGTACAGTAGCTGCACTGGATCTCCCATGACTTTTCAGTCTTTTATATAAACTACTGACTCTTAAAATACACTTATATGCTAGAAGTTTCTAGACCAGGGGTCTCCAAACTTGGTCCTGGAGGGCCAGTGTCCTGCAGAATTTAGCTCCAACCCGAATTAAACACACCTGAATCAGCTAATCACAGTCTAACTAGGCATACTAAAAACTTCCAGGCAGGCGTGCTGAGGCAAGTTGGAGCTAAACTCTTCAGGACCGAGTTTGGAGACCCCAGTTCTAGACTTTATTGTCACTGGATCTGAAACATTAGACAAGTGTACCACAGTCCTCCAATGCACTCACACCAGTCCTGTACTCAAACGTATCAGTGAATCTCTGTTTTCAGAGTAAGCACGTTTTTGTGCATTTTTAAGGGAGACAATTCTGTAGCACTTGAGTGTATTTAAGGCTTTGTATGATATTTTAGACATCAAAGTAAATGCTGTTTGTACTCCCTGTTTTGGTCCATGGCCTTTCCAACTTGAAGATGTTTTACTGGATTCTTGGATGCTGTCTGTGTGGAATATGCTGTAATACTGATGGGACTTCTTTCATGCAGACGTCACATGTAGAGCATTTGAGCTTCTCGTTTTGCACCATTGACTTGAAAAGCTACTGACTGAAGCCACCATTTCAGCTAAAATATTCTAAGATTTGAAACTCCATATCTGTTTAGAGTTACCAAAATGTTCAACCAAATGTTCAACCAATCATGTGTCTCTTAGTGAGTTCAATGTTGAAGACTTGATAAAGGTCTGTGATAAAGGTCTCCAAATGCAGACATAAGTAGAATGTAATCGTTCTGTGATTCCATTCCAAGAAAGCAGAGAACAGTAAGCGATAAAGTCCTGTGACTAGTCAAACACTCAAGAGCTCCCCAAACCTCTCATATCCATCTCTTTCATCTGTTTAAGTCACTCCAGTTGTCCATTTATAAAACCTCTTCAGAATGGCAATGTGTCCATGAAGATTTTATCCACAATGGGTGGAGGAGGGACCAAGTCTTCCAGTTTAAGATAGAAGATTCGCTGGAGGCCCTGGGTGCACAGTGTTCTCAGCTCCGGAAGTTTGCCCAGGAGTCTGGACAGGTAGTTGGGCCGGGTGGCCTCACCAGTACTTGTGGAGACATGGTCTCTGAGACACGTGATCAGGCGGTTTTGGAAGTCTTCGATCCGTTTGGGTTCTTTCAAGCCGTGTCGATCTGTTGGTCACAAGTGAGGGTTAGAGATTTGCTGGGATAAAACATCAAATTTCTGTAGTCTAGAAATTAGAAGAACGAATAAAAGTAATTTACCTGTGATTATGACCAGTGTGGCAAGACAAGAGAAAGACGATACGTCCAAGTTCAAGCGGTGTAAACTCTGAGAAAACTCCATAATGGAGTCAATCCAGTCACCGAAGCTTCGTACGCACTGTGTCCGGTGCAGAACCACACCATTGCAGAAAATAAGTTTGTCTGTCTCAGGGTTTGACCTAAACGTAAAGAGATATATAAATGCTTAGCCACCTCACAGTACTTTTATAATAATAACTGAGTGTCATATGAACTGACATGTACCTGTAAGCTAGCCGAAGTATGAAGAGCTCAATAAATGCTGACTCAAGAAGAAGCTCTTGGTCCTCCTTACAGAAGGCACTGAATCCAGGAATGCTTCCAGCCCACTTCCTGATCACATCCATTGACCCTGTTAGCAGGTCATAAAACTGCTGTATGTCATTGGCATCCTCCTTCTCAGACAATCCGGATACCGATTCCTGATACTAAACAATGACCAAAAATAAGATATCTGTCAGGTTGTTGTGAAGTGTGTTCTGTCCTCACCTTTGAATAGTCTAGATTTCCACTGGCAGGGTTTGAGTCGATATGGGCAGTGATGAGAGAGGCGATGATGTTTACAGGTGAAGAGACAGACAATGAGTCCTGAACCACTTTTGGCTTGGACGGCAGACGACCTCTTCTACCTTTCAGGCTGTCTGTTCTCACAACTATCCGGATACCGATTCCTGATACTAAACAATGACCAAAAATAAGATATTAATTAACAAAGTGCACAGAACAATGACAATACTATTAAAACCACACTATTATATATATATATATATATATATATATATATATATGTGTATATATATATGTATATA